CACACACGAAAAAATAAAAATTTTCGTTTTTTTTATTATCTTTCTTTTGATTAAAATACATGTTTTTTGGTTTTCTATTTTCTAAAAATTAGAAAACACTTTAAGGTCCAGAACAAAAATTACCGCTTTGTAGGGCTCTTCAAACCCTACAACTCATTTTTTTTTATTTTTTTTTGTCTTTTTTTTTTTTTTTTAAATGTTTGAAATTTTAGGCCCCACCCAACCGCAGGGCCGACCCCAGCGGTTGAGATCCCGACCGCAGGCCGAGATGGACCCCGCGTTCATGACCGCGGGGGATACATAGCTTCCCGCTGCCTTAATTTCCTCCGTTATCCCTTCACTCTCCACTCGCCTCCTATGGCCAAATTCCCGTTTGCGCCTGATCCCTGCCTTCGTCACTTTCCCCCTTCGCGACTGAACAGCGGCCAGCTTCAAAGTTACAGAAGCCAGAGCGAAAGCGCCGACCAAAACAGTCAAGCCAAAGAGGCTGCTCTCAATTTATGTACATCCGCCCTGCGCAGGGACCGCGCCGATCTTCTCTGTATCGTTCCAATTTTAACAGATGTCCCAAAGGACCTCTGCCGCGTCAAGTACCCCACCGCGGCCCTTCAACATTCAAACTGCCGGCCTCGGTGCCACGTCCCCCAAACGGGCCCACGACTAATAACCAATACAAGGATAAAATAAAATAACATATATAAAAATTCCTAAGTCGGGTGCGGGGACTGCAAAAACCTCACCGGTTTCGCGGACCTGGTCTATCACCGCCCCTATTAACAAAACCGAGGGGGTATAGCCCGATCGGGCCCTCAACCCCCTCAGCTTCCTCCACGATGCTCCACCTCTGCTACGCCGACACCCGCTGGCCTCGACCCCTGAATCCCCATAGTAGTAGTCCCACACCGTAACCTATAGGGCTATGCCCCAGCTTGGAACAGCCAGGCGCAAACTTCAATATGATGTGGTCCCGCACGCCGCCCAGGCCCAAAAAAAGACAGCCTAGGCCCTCTTTTCCTCCCTGCAACCGGCGCGCCAACACCCGGCACCCGCGCCGACTTACTTGGACCCCGCCGTGGCCGCCCCATGCGCCTACCGGCGTGCCAGTCCTACCGTCGGTCGCGCGCGGCAGCCAAAAACGGGCTTTCATCCCGTAAACAACACCGCAGCACGGTCCAGGTCGGTCGACTAGACCGGCCGCTCACTCAATTAGAAAAATCACACGCGCGCCTAAAATTGTGCGCCCACATACCCTCTAACTTAGTCAGGACGGGTCCCGGACGCGGCCGTACCTCGCCTGACTTATGCCGATCAAACCCATTTTTCCTGTCATTTGCAAAAACCAGGGCGGATACCCTTGTAAGGGTATTCGCGTCGACAACGTTTTCCGTAAAGGCATGGAGTTCTACGAGAAATAGGCGGAGGGGAAGTTGTTGGGCGGCGATGGGAAGACACCATTGTCGAGGCCGGGCAAATACATGCCAGACAAATCTCCAGGTCTTCAAGCAATTCCGGAAATGGGCTCGAAAGGGGCGGCTGGTGAAACGAAGATGGAGTGGCTGGTCCGGGTCCCACCACCTCCGAGCAAAGGCAGTGTCTCACCGACATGACCGATGCCGAAAAACTGTCGATCCTCGACGACATTCTCGCACTTAGGAGAGTGTTCGTGCAATCAGTGGGCGGGCATCTGAAACGTCAACATAAGCCTCGAATTAAAGACATGGTCGCGACGAGGAAAGTGGACCATGTGATGCTCCGTATGTTTCACTACATCTAGTTCCTTGAAACGGAGGAGGACGAAGGTGTTTGGCGCTACAGGAGCCCTTTTTTCGAGACCGAGGGGCAGCTTTTGGCGGAGTTCGGGCCGCAGGGCCTCACGAAACAGGTGTGGGTAGAACTGCGAAAGCATTTCAAGGGCGCGGTGGAGTACGTGAGCACTTGCAAACGTACTCTTCCGCACGAGAAGGAGTCCCTCGACGACGCGAAAAAATTGTAGAAGGATGACAGGTTCCCTAAATCTTTCGAAAAGTTTGTCCGTTCCATCTTACGATGGACTGAAGAAGAAGTTCGAGACACGATCAAGGTCAGCGGGGATGTGAGGCACATCAAATGGCACAACCTCAAGCGGGTGACCAGCCTTATTCCTTTCGCTTGCCCGCCTTCCCAAGCTCACAGTCGTGTCATTGAGATCCATGAGATTGTGCGACATTACGTGTGCAACCTGTACGTCCTCGATTTGTGTGATCCCACACTCCTCGCGGACTGGCGAGAAGACGATTTCGCCAACTTGCAAGGCGTTCTCCAAACACTGTCGCCAACGCACTGGGCACTTGTGATCTTTTTCCCCGCTCGTTGGGAACTCATTTTCTTGAAAGGCATGGCCAGGCTTAGCGTTCATCAAGTCAGGACAGGGAAGTGGGTGCGCCATGCTCAAAAGCAGGCCACTGTCCGGGAAGGCAATATGCTGGTTGAGGAGTGTGACCGCCTGTACGTGATTTTCAATGGCAAGAACCTGGCAGACAACACAGTCGCAGTCTACCCGGCCAGTAGCCCGACAAAGGCTTCCCGTGCTCATGGTCCAAGTCCGGCCAAACACGTGATGGCGGCCTGCTCGAAAGTTGTCTGCTCGTCGGACCCATCAGGACAGGCTGTGGCGTGTTTCGACGTGGCGGACGAGGACAGGTTCCCTCGCAGCCTGTGGGAGGACGGCGGCTGACAAGTGCTCATGGACTTGCTTACGGGGACAAGGAGTGGAACCCGTCCCATCTACTTGGTCTACTCGAAAACTTTTGCAAAGCTGGGCAAACTGTTTTTTTCTTTGGGAAGGCGCATGCGTCTGTCGTGTGGGAGCTCCTGCGAAATGGTTGGAACATCGTCGCGTTGGAGATTAAGGCGAACATGATCGATTACCTTAATGAGTTTGTGAAGACGCGCGTGGCAGACACTCGCAATGATTGCACTTTAGTCCAGACAACCGGCGAACGAAACTGGGATCCCAAACGTGACATGTATTGGAAATTGCCGGGGCACAAAAGGACGGAGGTTTGGGACTTCCTTTTCCAACCCGGACCGCCTGCTCAGACCGACCTCGAATATAGTCGACGAAGAAACCTGGTGTTCGGTGTGCTGAATGGGTACCACGATGCACCCAGGGAGTCTGTCTCGCATTTCCTGAGAAGGCTGAAGCACGTTTACTTCTTGATGGCCGAACCGCTCACCCTCAAAAACTACAAGGCACAGTTTGACGAGGACACTTTCGACACTGAAGACATGGAGGAGTTGAGCGACTTCGAAACCTTCGATTTCGAGTCCATGCCACTTCTTCGGGTGGTTGGACAGGTTGGTGATGAAGGGGAAGGTGGTCCCCGGAGATATAGCACGTCCCCTGCCGGTTTGAAGCGTGTGTTTCAGCGCGAACCAGTCGACGACCAATCGTTTGATGATGAGGAGGAAGAGAGAGACTATGATTACGAACCTTGTGACAGGCTCCCTCTGGACCATGATACCTATTAGAATGACAGACTCTTCTTCTTCGGCAAGCATCACTGGTTCACGTCGGAGGATGTCTGGGGACACAACGTCGTCTGGCACCCGAGGATATTCCAACCTGCTGTGAAGAATGGGAAGTGGGTCATGGCAATGAAGGATGCCGATGACAAGTGGAGTGGAATGAAGAGACTAGGAGCGGGTCCATTTAAGAGAAAGGCGAGAGATGCTCTGGCGGAGCATTTGAGTCTTATGAACCCCGAAAGGAGCAATCCGGACATCGCTGCGTATGCAGAACAAAGGCTAAATGAGTTGTACGACAACAACATGTTGAAGTTTCAAGCGCCTTTCTACACACTTGAAACGGCACCGTCTCGTGGCATTGACTGGCGCAAGCCGCAACCTCCGTCGGGCTGTCAGCATCTGGGAAGGGGTGGAGGGGGAGACGAAGTAGACGGCGGAGGTGGCGGAGGAGACGACTCACAATTTGTCGGAAAGGGGACGAGCGAAATATCGTCGGGAGAGAAGGCATCCGGCGGAAAGGGGTCGGGCGGAAAGGACTCGGGCGGAAAGGGGTTGGGTGGGAACAGGTCGGGCGGAAAGAGGTCGGGCGGAAAGCGTAGAACGTCCGGGAGTCCCCAGTGTGTGAAAACTGACCCCCACTGCGTAGGGAGTCGAGATTCCGACATGGGAGACGTGGCCACCCTGAGGTCTGATCAAGTGCGAGTAGATTCGCACTTGTCTACGTGGCCATCCCGCCGTGCGTAGCAGAGGTCTCCTGTGCTCAACACCTTGCTCCTGAAAGAGGGCGGACGTCTGCAGCATACGGCAGCATCTCCTGAGCGCTGAGACCATTCCTTGATAGGAACTGTGTCTTCGTTTTGCTTGGAGGGCGGGATGCCTGCATTGCGAAGGAGCGAAAGTGCGACCTTCTGTTCCCTCAGCTCGGGCGAGCGCCACAAACTCCGAATAGATTCGGAGTTGCTGACGTCGCCCTGGAGGCCTGCCGCCACAAGTGCTCCTCACACTACAGTTTCGCGGGGCCAAAAAAATGTGACGTCCTACCCACCGCATCTTCAGTTGGGCACAGGGTTCCCCTCTCCACCTCCGTTCTCATATGTTGAGACTCGAGATTGGCGGTCTCGCGACTTGTTGGAGGGACCCGCTGCAGGAGTGTTCGAGACCGGGGTTGGCGAGTACGAATGTCATGCTTCGGAGGTTGCGCTAGTCGACGTTGACAGCAAGAGTGCAGCGGCTCCTGGGGAAGAGGAGCGCTCTCTAGGAACGCGTGCTGTATACCGGGAAGAGGAGACTCAACGCTGGCAGTCTCGCAAAGTGTTGGAGAGCGGGGGTAGCGAGTGTGAACGTCATGCTTCGGAGGGTGCGTCCGTGGAGACTGACAGCGAGAGTGCAAGAGCACCGGGGGAAACGCATGCTCTGCGGCGGGAAGAGGAGACTCAACACTGGCCGACTCGCGAAGTCGTGAAGGGGCTCGACGCATGAGTGCTGGTGATCGGGACGTCCGAAGAGGTTCTGCACAGTCGTTCGGCTGTGGCCACGATGCGAGAGGGTGTCGTTAAGGGAGGTCACTGGACGTTCGTGCAAGCTCCCGTTCTTGGCGATGATGAAGGCGAAGAAGAACCCGTGGTGGAAGCTCGGGTTCATGGCGATGAGAAAGGCGGAAGACCCGTGGTGGAAGGCCGTGAGATGACGGTCGGCATCCAGATGGATCCACAGCGGAAAGATGATGATTCTTCGCTCATCCGTTGCGTTGAAAAACAGGGTGATCGAGCGTCAGTCCTCAGTATCGGTCGGGAAATGGTAGTTCATGAAGCCATCGAGTTGGGTAATGACTCGGCTGCCACCGAGCTGGTTAGCGACTCAGGCGTGGCCGAGGTGCACAACGTCGAATCCTCCGTGGAAGGCGGTGAGGTGGCCGTTAGCGTCAAGATGGATCCTGAGCGGAAATATCATGATTCTCCGTCCACCCGTTGCGGTGAAGAACAGGGTGATCGAGCATCTGTTCTCAGTACCGGTCGGAAAATGGTACTTCATGAAGCTATCGACTTGCCTAGCGACTCAGCTGCCACCGAGCTGGTTAGCGACACAGCCGTGGCCGAAGTGCAGAACGTCGAATCCTCCATGGACGTTGGCGCAGTGGCGCGACAGCAGGGCGATTTCCTTCAAAGGGCGCCCGACCACGGTAAGATTTGTGAATAGGAGCACTCGCATATCTGACACTAGCCAGCTCTGTGTTCGTCCAGATTGATGTGATGGGCTCATGTACCTATTACCGCTTGTTAAAAAAAAGCTTGCGGGCTATGGGTTGTTTTCCATTTTTTTTACAGGTGTGAGGATGTCAATGTCCCTGCCCATGAAGCCTTTAAAAGTCGTGCGCGAGAAATGTCTTTCAGGGAGGTCATAAGCCGCTCTAGCGAAGAAGTCGTCAAGTGTAGGTTTGTTTAAAAGGGTCCAGATGCCTCGCCTTTCCCAGAGAGTTGTCAGGGTTCTGAAGGCTTGTGGAATAGATAAGGAGGAAGGTTTGCGGAAACATTTGGCTGCGTCTATTGAAAGCGTTACTGCTTTGTCTGATGGGTCTGATGACGATGCCAAACTGTGTGTCTTGAAAGACCCGTGTCCTAAGTACATCGCCAAGGACACATTCAACAGTTGGGAATACAACTTTTCAGGGAAAAGGGTAGACAGTTCTTAGCCATTTCGCCCCGGTGATTTTGGTCACTCCTCACACTTGTTCGTGGGTGTTTGTGCAGGTGGGGCTACATCATGTTTTCGCGTTCCCTTGCCTACTGAGGAGTTTAGCGCTACGGACTTGAGAATGTTGCAGGACGTCTGTGGAGATTTCAGCAACGGCCACGAGGTGGTTTCCTCGGTTCACAAAGGGGTCAGTTCAGTTTCGTTGAGCAGAAAAAGTCTTCAAACTCTTGTTCAGGGGGAATGGTTTTCCGACGAGGTGGTGGAGTCGTACTTGGCCTTGCTTGCCAACGTTGTGTTGCCTAGGTGTCCCTCTCTTTATATTTTTAGTCCCTTTTCTATACCAAGCTCGTCGGTGGAGGCTATCGACATGATAGGGTTGCGAGATGGACAAAAGATGTGGATATTTTTTCGTACGAGATGGTCTTGATTCCTGTCCATAAAAATTGAGTGTATTAGACCCTATTGTGTGTCCGAGAACAATGGCTGGAGTACTACGACTCCCTCCTACAATATGATGGCGGTTTTTCTTCCGATGTGATAATTGCGAACTTCACGCAATACCTCCGTGACGAAGCAGTTTGTCGTTATGGTAAAAAAACGAAACAGGATCTCAAGGACCCCAAGGTGGTTGTTCATAGTGTCCCTCAACAGTCGGACGGGTCGAACTGCGGTGTTTCCATGCTCGCCTTCGCTTCATTTCTTGCACGCGGCTATCCTCCACCATTTCCGATAGCCCAACGCGACATTCCAAACATCAGGATGAGGATTGCGGTGGATATACTCCAAGGCTCTGAATGATACCCCTGTTTTTTAAAATTCGCATAGTTTTTTATTCGAAAGACCATAAGCAGAAGTGCGAATCTATTCCCACTTGGTCTAGCAGTCGGCCGGTTCAAGCTGTGCTATTGTTTTGATGAGGTACCGCATTGCAGTGGACGTTTTGATCAAGTCAACGCTTAGGTGTCGATGTGAATATCCCAGCCTTATGCTGTAGCAATTTTTTTAGGGTTCGAGGAACATGTCATCTTTACTTGTAGGACTTTCGGCAGCGCCATGTTGACTTTCGGCAGCGCCGTGCTGCCATGCAACATCAGCTAGAGGGTTGCAGCGGACACTTACGTAAAGTAGAAGCTTAGATTCCGATGGAAATATCCCAGCCACGTGGTGCAGTATCTTTTAAGTAGACTCTTACCTATCTGATGTGAATATCCCAGCTTTATGCTCCTTTTGTTTGTTTACGGGTTGTTCTCCTTATGTCCTCTACGACCGCGGCAGCACCGTGCTGCGTTTGTTCGTTTCCATGTTGTGCTCCTGTGTTACTCATGGGACGTCTTCATCCTCTTGTGGACATTGTTTACACTCATGCTCATGGGGTTCGATGCTCTGGTTCATTTCGCAAGATATTGGTGAAAGATATCAACGATTTCTTCTTGGTCGCCAAATTATTTCGTGCTTATCTCTTTCTTTCGCGAGATTTTGTAATGTGAAAGCCCCCCTCCCCCGCCCCACCTCGACCGCCCAGCTTTCATATGTTTTGGCTCGCCCCTGTTCTGCGTGTGCCGCCACGTTTTACGGTTCACCCCCTCTGGTTGTCTCCACCGAATGCTGTTTGTTGGTTCCATATGACAATTGCAAACTTGTTCTCAATTCGGAAACCAATTACCGCCAGAACATATGTGTGCTTGAAGTTGTTTTACGTATTCAGCGGTGCACTAAATGATTACCGATTTTTTTATCCCCATAATACATCTCGTGCTCTCCACGGAATGCAGGTTGTTGTTTTCGTATGAGAAATGCGAACATATTCGCACTTGGGATGTCGTACATTTGTGATTAGACCGTTCATATCCACAAATTTACTGAAATGATTACTTTTTGTGTTGTCAACGCCAGCTTGTCGATAACTGCAAGCTTGTGCTATTCCCAGAATCAACAGATAAATTCCCATGAGAAATGAAAGTTGAAAAAACATTCCATAAAAAAAAAATCCTTCATATTTATAAATTATCATTCCAATATTTGTCCAATTCTAAAATTTTCAATTTAATTTGATAAGTTCCCGTCTAAACATGAGTTTTCCCTTCCAACTACATTTATTTGTTCAAGATGGAATGAAAGTCAGGACGAGTTTATGAAATGTTTTAATTAGATTTATATTCTACTACAACAAATATCGTCTAACTTGGATTGGATTAACTTATTTATGACTGGAAATCCATACTTAGTATGACAGTCCAATTGAAATATTCCATGAACTCATCCAGACTTTCATTCCATCTCTAGCATGCAGTTCAAATAAGAAGGGATACCCTATTCTTTGAAGGAAAGTTTTCAAGTAAGACGGAAAATTTTTAAATTGGAATGACATTTTTTAAGATGGAATGAAAATTTAAAATTTAGAATGTAATTTTACTCTAGAATGATTATTTAATTCTGAAAAAAAATTATGTTTATGTATGTGTGTTTGACCCATGTGTTTCGACATTGTTTTGGCGCTGCAGGATCGATATTAGGCGTTCGCAAAAATGGATGATTTGTCAAAATTGTTACCTTCTGTATTTTCACTTAAAGACTGATCATTTACGTAAGTTCGCAAAAAATGATATTTTTTCTACAGACCTTCTGTCTTATCCACAAAATGGATAAATCGCGAAAAAGATTATCATTTGAGTCATGTCTTGCCGAATGTGAAATTGACTCCATGTACTTCGTGATTTTTGGAAAGCCTTTGTGTGCTTTGCAATGTTGGATTGAATAATTTTTTGCATTCAATTACTTTTGGAAACGCCTCTGTGTACTTTGCAATTTGCCATTGAATGAATTTTTTGCATTGAATGATTTTTGTAAACAAGAGATACTTGTATGGATGGATATGTGTCTTCTCCACACAATGATTTGATGACATTTTCATCCGGCAATATACAAATGACAAGCCAATGTTCTTATTAAATCATCGAGTTGATGGAGTGCGCGCCTGCTTCTCCATCAAAGTGCGAGTTCAATCACACTTCTGGTGTGAACCCTGAGCAATCCCCTCGGACTTTGCTTCACGTTAAGGAGGGGATCGAACGCACCGCCGGTAAGCACCTGCACATCACGAAGCAAGAGCACGTCCCAATTGGAACATCGTCGGGTTCTGCGATATCGACTCCCACATGATGACTACACTGAACACTGGCAGGATGACCGGTCCGCCTCTCCGATGTTGATCTAATGGTGGATTGCGTGAAATCTGCTCTCATAGATCCACATTGGGGATGGGGGTCAGAATCCAACCACAGTTTGCTTGTAAAGCATCATATGATGTGTCGATATAACCGACATCCTGAACTGCTTGGTGAGCATCTAGTGTTACGCCAATAAGTTCCAAACACGGCCGCAAAGTCCCCTAAGAGTGTTCATTGTCGGTTCCTCACGTCGTCGATTCCCACGTGATGAGAATAGTAAACCGTGGCAGGATGACATGTCCCCCTCGCCGGAATGGATCTAACGGTGGATTGCGTCAAATCTGCTCTCAAAGATCCACTCTGGGTAAAGGTCCTGCAATCAGCCACTGCTTGCTTGTAAGCATCATATGATGTGTCCATACAATCGACATCCAAAATTGTTAGGTAAGCATCTACACTAATAAATTCTGAACACGACCGCAAGGTCCCCTAAGAATGCTTTTAGCACTAGAGTCCTCTAACCGCCGACTGTTTGGCACTTCGTGCAAGTTGTCATTTCTACCGATGCAGAAGGTTCATGATCACTTTCATTGTTTATATACCTGCTGATGGGTGCTCGGCGTTGCATATATGTAGTACTGTTGGCCCCCGCTGGATACGTTGCCGTCTCGGATGCATCCCACAGAAGGACCTCACATGTTGCGGACATGCAAATTCCCTGGGAGTGCTAATGGCAATCCGCGCCGATAACCGATGACGTGCGGGAAAGAAATACACAGCCATCACCAACGAACGACTGCTTGATACTTCTTGAAGGTGGTCTGCCACTTCTTAAAGGTGGTCAGTCACCAAACAGATCACGACCTCACATCAACCTCGCATTAACGTTCCCGTCCGAGTGCAAATGGCAATTCGGGAAGACGGCCAATGAGCGTTTGACCACTTCCTTAATGTGCTCTGTCGAACATCGATAACTGCGAATTTACTCGCTGTTCAAGTTGAGTCTCTCTCTCTCTCTCTCTCTCTCTCTCTCTCTCTCTCTCTCTCTCTCTCTCTATCTCTCTCTGTCTCTCTCTCTCTCTCTCTCTCCGTAGCGATATCTCCAGCGCAGCGGGTACGTAGTAACCCAATCTTGTATCGCTCGCCTTTACCCCTGCGCATTGATTTCATTTCACGCTCAACTGCCATGTTAACGGATAAAGATGCACAAGAATTGCCGAGATTCACATCTCCGCGTGTGGGAACTGCGCGATGCATCACATTTGTCAGGCTCAGTGCGGGCAAGGTCCTCAGAGTCTTATACAAGGGATTTGTCAACGACTAACTAGGAATTCATTTGTAGTTTAAGATTCCGTCCTCTACCTTTGCTCGCGG